CACTGCCACCTGCCATAGCAGTTGCCACCGAGGGGTCCAGGGCTGTACCTCAGACGAGGCCAGGCTGACTGGAAAGATCCAGCCAGCGACCTGGAGATGGGCATGGAGCGCAGCTCCAGCTAATGGGCTGGTTAGTTACAGAAGGGCACGGGACCGGCGGCGGAGGCCTAGAGGAAATCCTTGGCTCAGGAGAGACTTCCTCCAAAGTTCCCGCCACCGCGGCCGTCCCTCCCTCCCTCCCCGCCAGCGCTGTCACAGCCCCATGCCGGCACGCAGGAGTACGCGCTGCTGCAGAGGCAGGCGGGGTGAGCGAGCTGAACCGCAGCGACAGCGAGCCTGCCAGCGAGAGCGCCCAGGCTTAGCACCCAGCTCCCCTTCTCCTCGGCCCTGCCCTCGCTCCTCCGCCCGCGGGGCTCCCTGGCGAGCAGGCGGCGCTGGGCTCCGCTGAGTGCCAGGCAGAGCAGCTGTCCTCTCCTGCTCACAGGCAGCCCCAGCCGAGCGGCCTCCTCCTCCTCCCGGGGCAGCAGCGGCCGCCGTGGCTCGCCCCGCACTCCCTCCCTCGCCCCGAGCCGTTCGAAACTCCCGCCCGCGGGGCGACGCGCGGCCTCTCGGGGCGCGTCCCGCGGCCGGCCGGGGGGCGGCGCTGCGGAGCGCGGCCGGGGCGAGGGCGGCCCGCGGCCCGCCCGGCCGGGGCGAGAAGGCGGGAGCGCGGCGGGAGCGCGGCGGCGCCCCCGGCTCGGGACGGGGGTCCCCTCGGGGCGGCGGAGCCGGGGCCGCCCGCCCCGGGCTGGCGGCTGCCAGTAACTTTCGAGTGACTTCCAAAAATAGTGGCAGGCGGGCGGCCCCCTCCTCCCCCACCCCGGGGGGGCTCCCGCAGCCAGCGCTCCGCTCCCAGCCGTGCCCCCGACCGCGCGCATCCACCGCGGCTGCACGCCGCCGGCACCCGGGGACAGCCCGCCCGCCCCAGCCTCCCAACGCGATTTATTTAATTTTTCTTTTTTTTTTTTTTTTTTTTTTAGTATTAAAATGGGAACACGAGGCCAGCGAGACGCATCCCCACGGAGCGTTTTCCGCGCTCCGAGTACGGCCGGGGCTGCACGCGCAGCATCCCGTGTGCCCGCGGGGATGCGCGGCCGCCGAGCCCGGCTCAACCCTCCTCTCTCCCGCTCGCTCCCCCCACGCACACACAAAGCTGGCAACATGGCTACCTCCACTCTAACAAGTTCCTCGCAACTTGCGGCAGCTCGCCGCCTCGCCGATGGCGGGGAGAGGCGGCGGGCCCGGCTCGGCGCCCAGGGCGGGCGGACACCGCCAACTTTCCCCGTCGCCGGGCTCGGCGGGAGCGGCACATCCCCTCGCCCGGCCGGCACATCCCCTCGGCGATGCGGCCAAGGAGGAGAGACTGGCAAATTGTAGGCGCAGGCCTGTGCAAAGTTTAAGCCTTAAAAGCCCCGAGCTCAGAGCCCCGGGTTGCAAAATCCGTATCGGGGAGAAAAAATTTACTCACCTTCAGACAGGTCCTCTATGCACTCGAATGTGATTTCGAACTGGAAAGGATTGTAGAAAGGAGAAGGATTATCCAACACCACTACATTGTTCACCTGAACCTTTGCCATATTTTGGAAAAAAACACAAACAATAGGCAGAGCGTGTTAACGCCGCGCACTAAAGTCCTCCGTGCCGGGCTCCCGCACCGCACAAGCCCCCGCGCCGCTGCCCGAGCGAGGCTGCAGGGCGGCGACTTCCACAAACTTTTTTTTTTTTTTTTTTTTTTCTTTCCTCCCCCTTTTATTTACACCGGGAACGCTCCACACTGTTCGCCGCTTTCCCTATTTCACTCAACTACAGCCCATTCTGCCCCTGCTCGCCGCCAGCGCCCGCCCGGATTGGCCGCTCTCCGGGCGAGGGCCCTCCCTCCGCGGGCACGGCGGGCACCGAGCGCGGGCCAGAGCGGCTCCCGCGCGCGCCCGCCCCGCACCGCCCCCGCCGCAGCGCCCCCGCGCGGCGCGCGCCGGCAACGGCCCGCCGGCAACCGCCACAGCGGCGCGCGGGCGGGGCGGGGCCGGGCCGAGCCGGGGCGGGGCGGGAGCTGATCCCGGCGCTGTCTGGGCGGGAGGGGGCGGGAGAGCGGCGACAGATCTTTAGCCTTTTTTTTTTCTTTTCTTTTTCTAATTTCCAGGAAAAGGACGTAGGGCCTATCAACAGCAATTTTTTTTCCGTTTGCATTAAGAAAATTGAGGTCCAGGCAAGGGGAAAGGTCTTACCACGTAACTAGTCAGGTCTCCACAGCTAGTCAGGTCGTCACAACCGAGACGAACCTTTCAATCCTAAGATGTGAATTTATTTCAATTGCTGGCATGTTGCTGATGGAATTGTATTTACCATGCCTACCGCATTTGTTGTTATTAAAGGAATTATAAGGTTCGAGTTCATATACAGAAGATGTTTCCTTTTGCCAGTGTGTTATCTTATATTTAAAGTTGTGAACCGTAAAGGTTTATATGAACTGAAGAAGAAATTAATTTTTTTCAAAATGTTCATCCTCTGCAAGTTGTGAACAATGTAAGACCGTACCCACCTTGAAAAGTACCCTAAGCTGAAAATGGAGGCTGGAAGAAGAGTAGAGCAAAATATCATAACTAAATTAAAAACACAGGTAGAACATGAACAAAATATAATCTTTTATCAATTTACTTCAGGCAAGAAGTTAAGCACTGTATCTGAACAAGACAAAAAGCTGCTTTAACAAGAGCTCATTTTAAGGTTTTATTTAACCTTACTTATAAAAAAAAAAGATTCACAAGTGTTTAAAAGAATCCTAAGTGTGTTTTTATATGCTGAAAGTGTGCAATGTGAAGTACTGTATAAACAGCAACTGCAATGGTAGCTGCTTGAGAAGAGTGAAAAGCTACTCTCAGTCCCACACTCATGATGAAATAGTTCTCAACATCTCCCAGAAAAAGCAATTTTACTGTCAAAATTCACACAACTAATCTAATCAAACAGGAAGGTGCATGAAGCTTTCAACATCCCTTAATAAGAATGAAAGTAGTGATCCGCTTAGAGACTAAACCTTTTTGCCTGCGGGGCTCCCCCATGTGCCGTGTACCCTTGTGGGTTGGGGTGGTTTCGGCTCTTTGTTTTTGTTATGTTTATGGTTTGTTTGGGGTTTTTTTCCTATTTCTGTGTTGGTTATGTTGGGGCTTGGTGTTGATGGGGTCCCAGGTCCTGACTCAAGGGTGCGCAGGGCTATCAGGTTCATGAGTCTGACCCTACAGAGCAGATGCACTGCCCTGACCAGCACCCATGGCATCAACCTCATGGCTGACAGCAGCGTGCCGGGAGGCGGTGTGGCAGCACTTGGCTGGCTGGGGAGCCCCCTGAGTAAAGGGGAGGGATTGCTGGTGGTGTGCTGGGTGCCCCAGGTGGGACGGGCTGTCTGCCTGCATGGCTGTTCTGCTTCACGTGAGCCTGTGTCACTGCTGCTGGAGAGGCCGCCCACAGAGGGGCTGTGCAGGGAATGGAGCATGCCTGCTACGCAGCCATGCTGTCAGGAAACCATCCCCTTCCTCTGTTTGTGAAGGAGGGCTTGGGTGGCATATAATAAACTGTGAGACCATGCACCTGCCCTGTGCATCAGGAATGCCGTGTTGTGCAGCAGAGGAGGCCATCTTGTGTGGCAGCAGGAGCCCTGCGGGGGAGGCCACCTCATGGCTGCCATGCACAGAGCACAGGGAGAAGAGGAGTGACACAGCACTGTAGCATCAGCGACATCCCTCACACCATCGTGGGGAGAGAGCAGAGAGTGCCCAGGGCTCGGGGGGTGCTAGTTGTATACCCTTACCACAGGTGAAGATTCTGCCTGGAAATAAATGTGCAGCCAGGCTCTAGCACTGCCTGGTGTGGTTATTTTGTGTTTTTATAATTCTGCTGTATGATTGACTGCCCAGGTTATTTGGTGCGGAGTCCCAGAAACTATAAGAAAGATTGGACACAGTGGAGGAGATTCCTTGCGACAAGCTGAAGTACATATTAGTTTCAGGAAACATACGTATTTCTAGTGACCTTTTGCTGGCCACCTGGGGACAAATGGGTACTGTGATGGGCTGTGCAGCAACGAGAAGCTCTCCGCAGCCTCTCTTCCCTGAACCAAATGATGGGGAGGGGGATTCTTGTTCAGGCTTTGTCATAAAATTCCAGGAGGTTTTAGGCTGGTTGCAGCTTGTCAACTACTAGGATATTTTGAGCAGAACACTGGAGTGAAAAATGAGGGCTAAAGATAGAGAAGAAGCTGGGAAATAGGGAATAGAAGTATTGAAAGGAGCTGCACGTACTTGCTAATGTGTGGCTGTTTCCACAGTTGTGCAGGCCTTCTGACTTGCCATCCACACGATGTTGTATCATGTGTAGATTTACTGGGAAACTTTTTTAGTTTTTATTCCCCATTTCATCCTTGGGCATCTTTGGATTTTCACTTTTGCTTAATGCTTAGAGGAAACATAAAGAAATTTAACTGCCTTAGTTTAAGGGAAGAATTTGACTCTGTCTCCTGGGACAAGGTGCTATATGAGATTGAAATATATTTCTTTTTTAAAACTTTGCAGCTCCAAAATTTTGTCTGTTTTAGTAGTTGAGGAGGAGGAGGATCTGAATGAGTCCGTTGCATAATTTTGCAATCTTTGCATTTGCCCTAGTTTTCAATATGATCTGGTAGACCTAGTCTTCATACCCTAATCTCTTTTGTTCATTTGACAAAATCCTAAAACAAGCCACAATCAAACAGAATCTGCTCCACGGCTCCCGGCTAACCTGCCACACCACCAGTGGGATTGCTTACCAGTAGCTCTAAAGTGAGTTACGTGGTAGAGGTATGTGGTGGAGCTGCTCTGCTGCTCTGCCTTCTGTCCACGGCACAAGCCAGTGTGCTGGATCCCTTTCTTTCACTCAAGTGCACTCCTGCATTTTAAGGAAAAGACTGATGAAAGTAATTGATTTTTCAGGCTTGACAGTGACTGCTGTGAAGGACTTTGGGGAGTGGAATTTGGAAGCTGGAGCACTGGTGCTTGCAGATGGAGGCCTTTGTTGCATTGATGAGTTCAACAGTATCAAAGAACATGACAGAACCAGTATCCATGAGGCAATGGAGCAACAAACCATCAGTGTTGCAAAGGCAGGGTAAGTCGCATGTTAATGTATGCGATAAAACAGTATAGGATGTTTCTCTTGTACTTACAAGGTTTGTCATGCTGATTAAATATATGTGTGTTTTTTGTTGTACCTAGTTTAGTTCTCAGCAGTATTCTTACACTACATGAGTCAGCATTTCCAAGGACAGTGCACTGGACCAGAGGTTGCAAGTGATCAGAATAAATACATACCCTCTTCACTGCTGAGTTTTCAATCTACCACTTTAGGTCAGGCACTTTACTAAGAAGACTTGGTGTTCTTTTCCTTGTCCTTTGCTGCAAGTTGTCTCACTAATCATCTGTGAAATGAGGAACTTAGTAACTTTTTTTCGTTACATCTCAGAAAGTGGGACTTCATTTCACCACCATCACAGAATCATAGAATCAATTAAGTTGGAAAAGGCCTCTAAGATCATAAGATTCCAAGCTTTGACTGATCACCACTGTATCAACTAGATCATAGCATGAAGTGCTATGTGCAGTCATTGCTTGAACACCTTCAGGGATGATGACTCCACCACCTCCCTGGGCAGCCCATTCCAATGCTTGACCACCTTTTCAGTGAAGAAATTTTTCCTTATATCCAACCTGAACCTTCCCTGGCACAGCTTGAGGTTATGTCCTCTTGTCCTGTCAAGTCCACTACCACTGCATGGCAACAAAAGCAGATGAAGAGATTTCCAGGCTGCTGAATTGTATGTGTTGGGTGTGGCATAAACTTCTGCTTACTTTTAGTTCCTCCCTCTCTTTTTTCAAAGTAGTGTATGTTCAGATCTGGTATTCCCCCACACACACCTGTGCTCACCACTTGGATCTTTGAGCTCCTGTGTCATTCTCTCAGTCATATGCAGCTCTTGTCCAGGCCCAAATTTCCTTACTGGTATTGCTGCAATCCCTGCCACTCAAAAGGAATCATCCTTTCCATATTCCTTCATGTTGCTCAGCTCTTGCTCCTATCACATCTTGGCTTCTCTAACTGATCATGTCCTTTCCTTATTCTGAGTGTTTCCACTCTCTTTGGCATACACCAGTCAAGAGATGTCAGTCTCACCTGGGTAATTACCAGCCTTTGCCAATAATGCAGCTGGGCACAAATATTTGGAATCAATCTGGTTCTGTCTCCTTAGTAAGACAGTGACATATTTTAGCTAGGTTCCTTGTTGCAGTCAGTTGAGTTTTGTAGACTCCAAACACTGTTTACTGACTTGCACATGTAGCCTCAGTTGCTTACTTTTAAGGACTACATATAATGAGGATTTTTTTAGTAGTAACTTAGCACAGATAAGTTAAGCACCTTGTTAATTTAGGTCTTATTTTGGTGCATGGGAGATAAGTATATAAAAGTATAAAAACATTTTTTCCTGTTGGGTGTAAGCTAGTGGAAGATCTGTGGTCCTTCCTCTCAGTTACAGAAGAACTTAGGGCATGAGGCTGCAGTTACTCAGGAGCTGACTAGAAATAGCTCAGAGACAAACCAAAGTTAGAATGCTTCTGCTGCTGCCTTAACCAAAAAGAGTGCATTTGGGCTACTAGAATAAAAATAATCTTTCCTCACATCTACAAGCACATACTAAGACATCATAGTTCAGAGAGGAAAATGGCTGCCATCATTGTTTGCTTGGGTTCATATTCATGTTTACACATAGGAATAAAACATGTGTATGTTACATTTTTTTTTAATATCTGAAAAGTAATGTTGGTTTTCACTATTTAAGGATCTAACTGTATATAGAGATTACTTGTGGCAATATTAGTCAGTTACTTTTGGTGTTCTGATCACTATCTGTCCAGTTGTTACTCTCCTACTGAGAAAAGCTGTATATATAATAAAAACTAATACAATAATACAATGTGTACATTGTTTAGGTCTTATGGTCTTTCAAGAAAAGGTATGCTCTTTACAGCGTAGAAACATGAAAATTTTTAAACAGTTTGAAATTATTTTCCCTACCAGTTTAATTGAACCATAATGTTCACCACACTTTTCTCTAGCTTGGTGTGCAAGCTTAATACAAGGACAACTATCCTGGCAGCAACAAACCCAAAAGGCCATTATGACCCTAATGAGTCTGTGTCTGTCAACATAGCTCTTGGCAGTCCCCTGTTGAGCAGATTTGACCTGGTCTTAGTATTGTTAGATACAAAGAATGAGGAATGGGACCGCATCATTTCATCCTTCATCTTGCAAAATAAAGGTAAGAGTAGTCTTTTTAAATTGTAAGGTGTTTTTCATTTGGATGGTTCTAGTTTTGGTTTTTCTTGGTTTTTTTATTTCCCTACCTTTTAGTTTGTTATTCTTGAGTCTTTCATACTAATCAGTGAATACATTTTTGTTACAATGTTTTTCTGCTGTATGGCTGTTTTTCAAGTAGGACTAAGATAGAAATTCCTAATTAATTAGGAGGGGTGGGCTGAGAACACTATGCTTTTAGTCTGTGATTATTTACAAGAGATTTCAACCCAGGCTGCTCAGTAAGTGCATGGTTTCCATCTCACACCTTTACATTGTGTGATCTGCAGACCCTACAGTCCATGCAATTGTACTTGCTGTTAATGGGAAACCTAATTCAGACAGAACAAATTGGAACTGCGTGTGCTGCAGGGTGCAAAGAAGAACAATAGTGTTCCTAATGTGGAGCTTTGTGCTCTGGACTTAGGGAAGGCAGTGTGATTTGATTTTAACCAGCCCCTTCCCCATCCACTTCAGGAACATGAGTTTGATCCCCATTGTGGAAGAAGTGATTAGAGGAAACTTCTTCAGCTAGCTTCCTTCTCTTTCTAAAGTATTTCCCTACAAAGTGTTCAGAATATGGTAGGTAGCTTTTGGTTCCTACAAGGTAGGTAAAACAGCCAGAGGAGGTACATACACTCATGTAGGAGTTGGTACCGCCTGTACCATCTTGTGGTCAGTGAGGCTGAATGAGCAGTTCTGTTGAAATTACTGGAGGCTTTACTGTGGATTTTGATAGGAGAGGGATTGGGTGGTGTAAAATTCTGCACTGGAATTTGACCAAGTCCTTGAGGACTAGCATATAGACCAGCCAGTGTGCCCCAAAGGTACAGGAATGTGTCTTTTATAGTAACCTGTCTATATAATAGGAATTCTTAGGAAGAAACTTGATGTGTGTTGTTATAGAATTACTGACAAAGCAGTGCTAATGCAGGTTGCCCAAGCAAATCAGAAAAGCTCTGGAGCATGGAAAAGATGAAAACCTACTTCTGCCTTATAAAAAGCATACAACCAAAAATGTCTGATGAGAGCAACCTGATCCTTGCACGCTACTATCAAATGCAGCGTCAGAGTGACTGCAGGAACGCTGCCCGGACCACCATCCGCTTATTGGAGAGTTTGATACGCCTTGCAGAGGGTAAGGCCCTGGCATCTTTATTTTTAGGCTAACAGTTAACCTTTATGAAATGAATAGAACAGGAGTATAATTATAGCCAGTAAGCAGAATAGCAGCTTTTCTGTAGAGGTGGTTGTTGCATTGTTTTATCTTTCTAATCTAAGAGACTGTGAGTTGGAGATTTTGAATGTGGGAAAGGGTGTTACATTTAGATTATCAAAGCCAGTTTTAGTTTTGACATTCTTGCACACATAATAAACACCTAAACCACTGGAAGAAATCATAATTGAGAGAAAAATCTCAGAAATTATGTGCTTGTATGAAAAGCAATCTCAGGATTTACTTGGCTTCATTTGAGTCAAATATTTAGTTCTAATCCAAAATTAATATAACATAAACATATCATGTTTTTTGTTTCCCTAAGTATCAGTAATCAATTCTGTATTTTGCAATATAACTACAGCATTTCCAGTTCAAATCATATTTCTTTTATAAGAACAAAAACAAAGGAAGCAGTAGGTTTCTCTCTTAACATGATTTTATTTTATAAAATGGCATATCAAATGTTTTCAGGATGAATTTAAAATAATGTACTGCATTTTGTTTAACAATCATAAATGACAATGTAGTACTTCCTGTTTCAGATGTTTATATCTTGTTCTCCATTTTGGGGGAAAGACATTCTCCATTTAAGTGAAAGACGTTCCTAACTTTTAGGGAGTCACATGTAATTTTCACATTCAGTTTTTCTTCCGTTCTTATCAGTTCACATGATTGGAGCTTTTAGTAATATTTTGTTCTTTTAAACTATTATGTAGATAGTATTAATTAATCTGTTTTTCTCTTGATGAGTAAGACCTGAATGTGTTTCTGTGACCAATCAGGAAAAAGGCTTCATGTGGTAAATTATTTGCGTTATATCTATTTACAAAAATTCAGTTTTGCTTTGCTAATTTAAGAAAGGGAAGAAATAAAAAATAAAGTTGCTGTAGAGGAAAGCATTTTAAATAATGCTAAATTTGTAATACAGACCAGTGTAGAGGAAATCAAATTTTTTCTAACCTGTGATGAAAAGCAGACTTTATTTTTTTACTTTATGGTGATGACTTGTACCTATATAGAGATGTTTCATATCACAGTCTCTGTAGTGATATCTGAACTTTACATTTTTTAATTGTAGAATTTTGAGCATCTTTATTCGAACTGTCAGTGTAACTGTAATTTGAAAGTCACACCACAGCGTTTACTAGAAAAACTAAGCCTTCTAATTCCTGTTGAAATTGACCCTAAAATCAAAATTATCATGTTTAAGTTATGTCCATGTCCCAAGTGTTTGAAGAGCTGAAGATATTTGAAGAAATATCTCGTTCCTTCTAGTACAAAAAAATGTTTTTTGACTTTGGTAACACTTGCACACATTTATTTTTGATAGCTCACGCCCGGTTGATGTTTAGGGATACTGTGACTTTGGAAGATGCTGTAACTGTGGTATCAGTGATGGAATCTTCTATGCAGGTAAGGTTTCTTGTAGACATTGTCATTGCTGCAATACCCCATTTAAGGGATTCAGTTTTTCACATAGACATGAGCCAGCTCGCTTCATCTCTTTGGAAAGGGTTTTATAGACTCATGGAAAGCACGTCATCAGAGACCTTGACAAGTCTTTTTTAGTCCATCTTGATTGTTAAAATCCGTAAACAGAGATTATACTGAAAAATCTGGCCTATCACTAAAGGCCTGATACCTTTTTTAATAGACTTCACAGTCTAAGTGAAGTTTTGGCATACTATAGAGTTTTGGTAATCTACATTTTAAAGACCTTTTGAGCCATAAATTCTGTGTTTAATAGCCTCTGATGGGTTTTTTTCTCCATGATGTTATGTAGTCCCTAATTAACTAGGTATGAGAGAACCTAATAATTTTTTGAAGCAAGTCCAAACAATTGCCAAGACCTATACTTTATTTTGCCATTAAATCATTTTAAACTATATTGGTGGTAACAGCAAAACTCGGAACTTGTAGAAGACTAATTTTACTCTGAGAAACCTTCAAATTCCATAACTGGTTGGACTGAAAATTGTGCATTCCGGTTATAATGTGGATTTATGTAATGCTTCCATGTAAAAAGGCATTGAATAAATGTGGAAGGCTAGATTTTAGTTTACTCTAACATTGTTAGGATGATGAAAAAGCAGCACATTTAAAATTAGATAGAAGGGACTTTTTTTAGTAGAAATGTGGAAAATAATATAGACACTATTACTTCAGATAGAATATTTTTAAGAGACATAAACCCTCATGCTTTGGAGTAGGAAAAAATTACCATAAGCAGATTATCCAAAGTTTTATGCGTAGGAGCTTTTAGCACATCTGAAATATTTGGTTTGGCTCTGTCAGAGATGGTGTACTCCACTGCACAGCTGACTGGTCTGATCCAAAATGGCATTTCCTATGTTTCTGTGTAGGCTGATATGAATATATTCAAATTAAAACAGTTTCATGTAGCACCCATTTAGCTCAATGGACCTGAAAGACCTTTGCAGGAGTAGATATGCTCCTTTTTGGAGACAAAGCTCTTCGGGATAGATGCACAAAGTCACATATGGCAGGTAGGCCCTTGTGATCTCCCTTGTTCTTTCAGTGAGGGTTGAGAGACTAATTGCAGTTTGTGCCACAGATAATCTACTGCAGAACGTTGCAAATGGAATTTATCTCAAAAATACTACAGGGCTTGACCTTATTAAGCAGGAAAAGATTATTTAGCTGTCTGCTGCAATTTGTCTTGCACTGTTTGGAAGAGCTCAGCTTTCCAATGACAGCACTGCATGTAAGTTAATATGTGAAGCTGTTGAAACAGCAGAAGATATCACATAAGTGTTCATTAACTGTAATTAAACCTGTAATTAACTAGATGGGAATTTGATGGGACAGTGATTTCAAAGCAATATGGTTTTGGATATAAGAACTCTGAAATACTAATTTTCTTTTTTTGTTTTTGGTAAGAGATTAAAAAGTGAAATGTATGCATATAATGGTATGTCGTCTGTGCGTCTCTCTACCTCATCAGCACGAGTAAAAGCAAAAGAATGGTTTTAGCAGCAGCTCACTCTTTCATTTTTGTACAGCCCTGCCCTCAAGGGCTGCAGTTTGCATAACAAGCACCTGTCTAGTAAGAGTCAGTGAGAAATTTGACTGAATTATGACTGCAAAAGACTACCTGGGAGTAGTTGGTATGCTCACCGTATTTGTTCCACTCTTCACTTCTTATGAGCAAGTAGGCAAATGTGTTCATTTTTGCTAGGAATCTGCAAATTTGAGCTCTGCTATTTAAGGTCAAATTTTACTTTCCTCCTGAAAAGTAGAAATTATTCACTGAAACAGTTTCTTTTTTGAAGGAAGAGATTTCTTTGTTTTATTAAAAAAGTAGCATGCACAAGTTTATTTTCAGAAATGGATTTCTTCTCCAGAAAAAAAATGTATCTACTTTATGTGTATGAGCAACTTTACCCATGTGAGCAGACCTAATAGGATTATTTATGTGAATACAATTAGCAAATATTTTTACCTTAAGCTTTAAAATATCTAAGGGAGAATTTTGGATAAAATGGTCTCCACTGTGTTAATTTGGAATAATAAACATACTTTCCTATTTTTTTTTTTTAAATCTTTTTGTTGACATAGGGAGGTGCACTTCTTGGAGGCATCAATGCCTTACACACCTCATTTCCCGAAAATCCAGTGGCGCAGTACCGAACACAGTGTGAACTCATACTGGAGCGGCTGGAGCTGCAAGATCTTCTGCACAAAGAGCTACAAAGACTTGACAGGTCTATACAAAGCAACAAACTAATTCAGAAGTGAAAAAGAATTTGTTTCACAGTCATATTTGGAGAGGGTCTAAAAATAGTGCCTGGCACTGGGAAGGGACTTGTTCTTTAGAGGACATGGATAATCAGAGAGATTGTTCTGAAGTAGCACTCTGAGATCATCACAAGGTCATTTTTCCCTTTGGGTTATGGAATTTACAAATATTTTAAGAGCATTTTAATCAGTTCTCAACTCATATCTCAATACTATACTCAGATAAATTTCAGCAGAGCAAATAATTTTATATAACCTTTTGTTGCTTGCTTGGTAAAATACAGCAGATCTGCTTCATGATTTTTTAAACCTTCTTTTGTGTTGGGCTTGTCTGGATCCTTCCCTTTCTGCTAAGGGAAAATGTAAGCCTGAATCAAAATTCTGTTCTTTTGAGTGATTTCTCTTTTTTGACATGCTGGAATTTTCACTTGTCCCATCTCTAGTTTTCAGCTCACTGCAATAATATTTGGAAAGTCTATTTGCTGTTTTTAACAGAAATCTATTAATGTACTGAGCCTGAGAGAAAAACAGTAGGATTGGAAGGAAATAAAACCCCAAAAAATAACATTTGTTTCCTGAAATGAGATTAAGCTCTAAAGAAACTTGTACTTTCTTGTTGTTAAAGGAAGATAAACAATTTATGTAGTTAAAGGAAGATAAAAGATTAATGTTGTTGAAGTTAATGGAAACAGCTGGGAGAATTCACTTTTCTTTTTAATACTTCTGAGACTTATTTTTTAAGTCATAGTACTGATATGTTAAATAACTAGAGAGTCAACAAAAGCAGATGAAAGTGGGATATATTCCACAGACAGACAAAAACTAGTTTTAAAACAGAGGTGTTCACAAGGGATCATAGAAATGTAGGATGGGATGGGAGATCAAATGCAAAGACAGGATCAGGTCTGCATTTGACCTTCCTGTCAGGGGCTCATGTTATCTGTTCTGAAGCCCTTCTAATGATGAGGATTTTCTGTTGCCACTGTATAGTCTGTTCTATGATTGCTCCACCTAATGCTCGTAAAGGTTTTCCCAATATCTCATTGAATCCCCTATGCTGCAAATTAAGCTGATTTCTTCTTCTGTCTCTTAAGCAGCTTAGGGAATACTAAATTAATGTCCTCTTTAAAACAACCTATTCTGTACTGGAAGACTTATTCCATGCATTCTCCCTAGGCTATATTTCAATAAAACAAGCAGATATATCTCATCCATTCTTGATGACTTATAGAACTTCTAGTTCCCTTCAAAAAATTAAGAATAAACATGTTAGTAAACAATTATGATAATTATTCTAAAACATACTTGTCAATATAATGTTTTCTCTCTCATCTAGCAGAGAAACTGTTTATAATGCATAAGAATCATTTCTCCTAGACAAATGTAGTCACTTTTGGGACGGAATGTGGCTGCTTTTTGCTCATGGTTGGTATCACTATTTAGCAAAAAACAGAATACTGTCTCCCTTGGAAGTTGTATGTGTAAGTACAATAGACAGAATATCAGCTATACTGAGATTGGAGGGAACCCTCATTCTAGCACCTCTCTTGTTTTGGAGGGCCCTGAGAATACTGATAGCCACAGACAGCCATAATTAAGTTTTATAAGTGAACTGAGATGCTTTCACTGTATCATGTGGAGTTTTTGACATGTTGAGTACATAGTGATTATCAGAGAAATCCAACAACCACTGTTCCAAGTAATACCTGGATTTTCCATTCCAATAACTCGTTTGAGGCTTCATCTGGCTCAGGATAAAATTTAATTAGGTTCCTGTTCTAGAAGATAGATTTACAGAATATGTGAAATCCTGAGGGACTTTAGGAATGATTGTAAGCAGTGCAAAGCTGTTTGGTTTAGTTTTTTTTTTTTCCAGTTTGGTTTACTAAGGAAATGCAGTTTAGCTGGTTGCTTCCTCTGTCCATCTATCTACTGGGGACACTAAATTCTGACACTTACTGTCAAAAGTGCTGAAAGATCACAGACTGCAACACCAGCTTATGTAGCTATATGTGAAACTTAGTATTATACTTTTGTGGCCTACATTATTTGTAGCTTTCCACCAGTCATACCTATCAAGTATCACTACTGCAGTGAAGAAAGAAAAAGAAAAATAATTTACTATGGCTTCTTTTTTTCCACTTTATAGATTGCAAATGGAAAATTCATGCCAGCTGCAGCCTGAAGAGACAAGTTTCAGTGCTGCCACAAGATGCTTGAATGGGGATATGTTTGGACAGTCAAAGCAAAGGTCTCAGTCAGAACCTTCAAAGCAACAAGAGGATAACTGTGAGCCACAGCCACCTTTGCCTGAAGGCAGCTGTGACAGTGATATTCATCCAGAAACCTTGAGCAACCAAGCACATGGTAATAACAAAAATACCAACAGCCTGGCATGGTTTGACAGCCTGGAAGAGCGCAGCATTGATGCTGAAGAAACTTCCCAGAAGAAATCTCCAGTGCCCAAGATATCTCCAAATAACTTGGCTTCAAAAACTCCACGTAAAAAAACCTGTTCTGAAGAAAGATCTGCTTCAATACCAACGAAGGGAAATGGAATAAGAGAGTCACCAGCAACTGTGGCTCTGCATGCTCCTTTGAAACAGGACAAAGTTTCCAAGTTAAGCAGGAAAAGGACTGAAGAACACAACTGTTCTTCTTCAGAAGCTAATATTCCAGACCCAGCATCACCAAGTGCTAGTGTACAGGATTCGGTTATTACACAACATGCTTCTAAAAGGTGGCAGAGGCTGCACACGGAGAAATCACATGGATTCTTTACAAGTACACAGGACCCTGAGGCAAAGGCCCTTCCTTCAGTATTACCTGCCTCTGGCCTGTCAAATCTTTCAAGTGATGCAGATTCTGTGCTAGGGGAAGAAGAGACCAGTATATCTGTAGCAGCAAAAAGTGCAACAATTTCCCTGAGAAAACGAAGTAAAGGTCAAGTAGTGAAGGAAACAAATGTAGTAAGTTCCTATGAGCCAGAAATCCTCGACAGTGAAAGTCCCCCAGCTGCTAAACTGGCTAAATTTTCTTTCAGAGCAAGGAAAAAACTTGATCATTCTTCAGAGAAGAAAAATGAAGTTTCTCTTTTTCACAGTGAAACCATTTGTAAGCCAGGGGAGCAGCTTCAGGGAGGGCAGGTGCCAGAAGAATGCTGCCCCCGTGAGGAAGGCAAGATGGCATTGAGTCATTTAGGAAAATGTAGTTTGGAAAAACGATCAAGTGATAATAAAGGGAAAGAAGAGCCGGAGAGACAGGCTTTAGGGAAAGAAATCAGAAGAAGTGCAACAATATGCTCTGATGTCAGTTTTGATGCTGTGTCACCTCCACCCACTGAGAAGAAAAGGGAAGGAGAGGAGAAACTTGGTGGTCCAAGCACAGGGAAGGTGCGCTCCAGCACATTAGCCAAGCTGTCAACTTTCTCCTTTGTGTCACGTCCTGAGTCAAAATCAGAAACCTCACCTGCCATTAGGACTGACACTAACAAGGAAAGCCACAGTACATCACTGAAGGTGCACACGGGCAATCCTAGCAGAAGGAAGAGTTTTGCGTTGGGAAATGCTGGTAAAGCCAGTGTGATAACACAGAAATCTCTCTTCTCAATAGCAGAGCTAGATGATGCTACATTAGATTTTGATTGGGATGAAGAGGTTAGGAGAAATCCAAGCTCGTAACATGTATATCTTCCCAATTACTTAACATGCAGTTCTTCTGAATCTTCGCCCTTCTATCAGTTGTATCTGTGGTTTACAAATTATTTCACAGAATCATCGTGGACCTGAGCTGACACCAATGAACATATGTTCTTTAAGGGCCACATACTTTACCTAAGCTAACAACTGTGTGTACTGCAGGCCTGGTGTGGTTTTCAGTTTTCTAAACTCTTCCTGAGATTATTTATCTTAGTTGACTGTTTTGATTGACCTGATGAAACCTGAAGATTTGTATGGTTATGTTCATGTGTCCAGAGTGAATGATCTTGCAGAAGAGCAAGCTTGATTGACTTTATCTTTTATTTCATGTAACAGTTAGAATTACACATGATTCAGATTGTCCTTCCAAATGACTATGCTGCTTTAGAAAAATGATGATGCTAAAACTAGGTAATTATATTTTGTTCATCTATATATGCTATTTGTCTCAACATAGTTTCCAATATTGTCATTTATCATCATGCTATGGTAAGTATTTCCATATTATCATGATCATGACAATTTTGCTGCATCTTTGATTACTGTGCTCCTTGTCACATGTCTAATGTTGAAGACGTGGATCGAGAGGTTTTTGTTTCTGTTTTTTAATTTCAATTTTAAATACACTGGTTCAGATACCTGTGTTTGTATTCTAGGTCATTTTATCAAAACCAAACTCTATAATAAACACACAGTTCTCCGCTGCAGAGACAACAAATTTCAGGTGATTGAACGGGAATTCTCAGTAACCAGGGAAACTTTAATGCAGTCAGTAAGCCCTGGCATATAAACTACACTTCAAGCATCGCACCATGGTGAAGAGCTTCCCTAGTGCAGCTTGGTTCTGATTCAGATAATGTTTACTTGGCTATTTTAATTGTGATTAGAGTTTTACTGCATCTGATATGCAGTTCATCTTCTGTAGCATGCTATGTCATTTGTCTAATGGGAAATTAATCTATTAATGCATTACATGTTTACAGAGAAAGGTAAGCTGTAATTTTCTTTTAGTGACTTGCCTCATATGTTTCTTCTCTATTTTAATTCTCCACAGAATATTTTTTTATTACCTGCAAGGTAAACAGAGAATAGAAGTGGTTGCTTACAGCACAGTAAATCCTTTGAGAGACATGATAGCACAAAGATCGGATTCTCTGTTGGTTTGCTTAGAAGTAGCTCCCTTGAAACCAGGTGAGTTAAAATAGTGCAAAATTTGAGAGAACTGAGGGAGTGTGAGGCCTTGAGGAGTACTACGGAGTGATACAAGAATAGTAGGGATAGTAGTTGGCTTACCTGTAAGAGTTTGGGAAAAAGACATAAACGTTGCTGTCCAGACTGCTTGTGTGGTTGTTCCTCCACTGGAAACATGACATCAACCAAAACAAGTGGAATTTATCCACCTCCCTCCCAGAGCACAGAGCCACCCCATCATGTTACTTTTCACCAACACATATGCCAGGGCGAGGGGGACATGCACCCATGACCTAGTGCCAGTGAAAATCAGAAGTTTCCTACAAGATGCTGTGTCTACACTGAAACTTGAGAAGGGTCAAGAATACTGGAGCTATTAACATTTATGGTGGTCTTCCTACGTGTATTTTTTGCATCAACCACTTGCATGGTGGCCTCATTTACAATCAGAAATCCTCTTTGCTAGCTGTTTGGTTTGATGGATGTTCCTAGCTGGCCAGTGCAAAGCCAGAACATAGCTACTGGATCCCATTCAAGCATCATGAGCTTTTTTTACCATGTAAAATGATAAATTAGTCAAGAGAAATTTCATCCACCTGTGCTTGAAGTACTGTTTTATTTATCACATCCTTGTAGAACAGTAGCTAGGGCCTCATCTTATGTAATTTATTGTATATGGTTATGTGACAAGCTGCTCCCAAGAACTGAAGGACCTTTTCCTAAACATTCTTTTGTGGGAGGCTGATTGACTTTTTTGCCTGGTTTGCAGATGTCCTGAGTACTTAACAGCTAAAGCTTACATCAGTGAGACTTGTGTAAGGTGCAGTGTAATTATAATGACACTCTTGTGTCTTCATCCCTCTCATATTTGTGGTTGTGAATTGGCCCCTTCAAGAAGAAATGGTAGTGAGTAGTCTCACTTGGGATATCTGGGAGTAGAAGAAAGAAGAAAATGATAGAGGTTCAAAGGGCTTCTTGCTGAGGACATCTGAGAGCCTTAGACCTCCCACATTTTAGCACCTGTCTTTACTAGGTTGCAAGTCAAGCTCAAAACAATATGTCTGAGCACATTAGGACAAGTTTGATAATGCCCTGGAGACTTTCCAGACTTCCTGGAAAGAGCATGGCTGGGTTGCTATCTACCACTTAGATACGTTTTAGCTACCTAAATTTAAACGTAGATGGTAGAATTTTAGGCAGAGTGAATTCTATCATTTTTTGTAGTGTCTTAATGGTTAATCATTTTTGAAGGACAATATGTTAGATAGTATATCAGTAAAAAGATATACTCTTCAGACTCCCCTGACTAGAAGTAGTCAGTGCATTACTTTATGAAGTGGAACAATGCTTATTTATTGAACAGAGGTTTTTGAGATGTGAGGGATCTCCTTCTCCCTTTTGTGTAACCTGAGAAGTGGAACAAAAGCCCAAAGGAGTCAAGGAAGGATATTGAAAACTCCAGGCACACCGAGGTCACTCTGCCTATAGGACCACTTGGGCCTTGTTTCCCAGTTAGAAGCAAAGAAAAGGACCCACAGGGACATCAGGGACATTTTATTGAGCTTTCAGAAAGGCCTATCTTTTCTATATTATGAGAAGAAAAGCAGTGTTGGTTTTTCATACTGTCTGCAAAGAGGTTCTAGTCACCAAAGTGTATGAGGTAAATAACCAAAGAGTAAATTTGGAAGAGCAGATACTGCTGAGATAATTCTTTACTTTATCAGACCAATGGAAATACTACTGTTGTGGTATTGTTTCTGATTCATAGCACAAATACAGAGCATCCAAGATACATGAGAAGCACCCAGTAATAAAAAAATGATACCTGCTACTGATTTACTCTCTCCCTCACCATTGCCATTTATCAGTGCCTTGGCAGAAACGTGGCTAACTTCTTTCTTTTCCCTTTTTAAACCATCTTCTGCTACAAATAATCCCAAGTTTCAATGTTTTTTGAGTGCTACAATAGCCCAATGATGGGATAATTTAAACCAATATGGCAATGACAGTTTGCTGGGTTGACCTGCAGAGGAATTTCCCTTTCGTCAATGGGCAGATGAGTCACTCCCTGTCAGCTTGCCTTCCTGGCCAGACACTAAGTCATTATCTCCATCTTTTAACACTTGCCTCTCTGAATCTGTGATCTATCAAAACAATTATTACTGTTGAATACACTTGTATTTTATTAAGCTGTGTTCATGGAAGGTGAATATATATGTTGCTGTCTTAAAACCCAGTTGAACCAAACCTTAGAAGCCACTGGTTTAGTAGTGTGATTAGGCCCTCGTTTGTGAGCAGCAGTGAAATGCTGTTAGATATTCGATGACCCGACTCCATTGCCTTGGCTAAAACCAGATTTCATCAGGTTAGTGTGGGACAAGATCATGTCCCATAGCAGTATTCTCCTGGGCGGCCCATGCAGACATGCTGATGACTCAAAAGGGAGGTGGAAAGCAAAAACCCCAACAATGTAGTTAGGTATTGTTTAATTATATTTTTGGGTAAAAAAGTTCTTCTTCATAATTCTTTTTATCCTGCTGCATGGTGCTTATGCAGGGAAAGGCACAGCCTTGGCTAGAACGAGACTGGATTTAAGAGACCTACCCTCCTCGGAATTAGTAGCCCAGGTATGATATTTTAGACTGTCATGAAGTATCCCTGCTTACTGCCTGAATCACCTCACATTTGCCAGTAGTTGGGGAGGGCAAGCTGTGTGTAGTGGTTCTCTGTGGTTATATGTATCACTGGTTGATTTACAGACCTCTCTGATGGCCCATCTTGTATTTGGAAAGTCCTTCTGAAAGAGGCTTTCTAAGGAGTCTTCCTCTCTTCTTCCTATTTACAGAAACAGGCTATCAGCCATGCCCAGGGCTTACTTTTTGAGTTACATGCTATTGATGACAGTCTTCATAAGGTGAAGACAAACTACAAAGCTGTTCCTGGTTATACAGCCACAAGTTATTTCCAGATCTCTGCTGGGATCTTTACCTGTTGGTTTAGGGTTTTTTTTTAATTCCTTAATTTTTTTAATCTTTTTTAGCGATCTTTTAATTTTACCTTAATTCATCTCTTCCTTTATTGATTACCTCATTGGCAGATGAGTTTCAGGATGCTCATACATACATACAGCAATCTAGTATTTGTCACCTGTTCATTGAAGCATTGCTGCAAAAGTAACATTTAAGACAGTGCAATCCATAAATGTTTGTGTGAAATTTCCCCAAAATGAAAAGGCAGTAAGGCAGAAAGCAGCAGATTTTATATCCAATTTTATTCTAATATTTTTTACTTCTTTAATTCAAACTGTTACACTATGACGTTACACTTAATCAGTTCTGATCCTTCAGGATCACCTGAAATTCTTCCTAGAGACAGCGGGAAGTGTGGTTATTTGTTACCTTTCAGGATCTTGCAGCTCTTAGGAGGACAAAGCTGTGCTTCATATCCTTATAGTCCAATTTGGCTTCAGAGCATTGGCAGACATTACCAGACATGGTCTGTGACTGCTGACACTGCTTCCTTAATCTCCCCTTGAGGTGCCTCCTCACCTCCTTCCCTTCCTCCCAGACCTTGTTGCCTTCTTTCTCTGAAACTTGGGACTATTTTCACTGCCTGGTCCTACCATTTAAGTGCAGCTCCTTTCCAAACTCCCCTGAGAGGTATTGTCCATCCTATTTAAGGCATTTCTGGGGTGGATGCCTGGTTCTTAAGCTTGTAAAACAACCTATAACAGGAATCACTTGCCATGTAAACATCTTACAAAGCCAGCCTTCAGTTCTTCACAGCAGTGTGAAAATTTTAGAATGCCACAAAGAACATGGTAAAAGAGGAACTGAAAGAGAGACCGTGAGCCACGTGTAAGAGCTACTCAGCTAACAAAGAATCACAGAATATGCTGAGTTGGAAAGGACCCACAAGGACCATCAGGTCCAACCCTTAGCCCTGCACAGGACCTACCTCAAGAGTCACACCATGTGCCTGAGAGTATCATTCTAATGCTTCTTGAACACGTTCTTGTGCTGACTGCCAACCAGTCTTACTCCAGTTCCTATGCTGCTTTTCATTCTATGTAACTGGTAAGCAGAACAAAACCCTACATGGCTGAGTTTGCTTGTTGCTCCTGTTATTCTCAGGACAGTAGTTTCAATGTTGTGATTATTGTCAGATACATAGATTAATGTGTTAGATATTATAATGTGGTGTGCACTGGGATTACAAAACCAAGTGAGCTACAGCCAAAGGCAAGGCAAAGTCAAACTGAAATGAAACCTCTAATTAGTGGATTCCATGTGAACAGATTTCCCAAGTGAGGACATATAACATCACATTCTAAAAGGAATGTATATTGATGGGAAGATAAGGTAAGTCGAGTATTAAGTGCTCTGTATTTCATGTGAATGAGGCAATAGCTTCATTAATAATGAATACTAATTATGTCATCTCCTTTAGGTATCTGGTGTGCCTTTGCTTATCGATACTTTCCTTAGAGTATTAATACTTCCAAGGAATAACGTTGTCCTTTACTGACTAAAGAGCACAGCTATTTTAGAAAAGACTGAAAATATGTTTCTTATCAAGTTTGATTATTCTTAAAAAATATGTATAATTACAATTTTGCACATAATTTATATATCATTTTATAACTGCACAGTAATTTATGCAAATACAGATTGTTTAAAAATGCAAATATTATTGTACAAATAAAATGTATTATTGCAATGCCCTTTAGGAAGACATGTCCTTTGGAGCAATGACTTTTCAAACAGTAACACTTCCTAACTTGAACTCAATAGTTGTGAAATAGTTACCATATGTAAAAAGGCGAGGAAAGATGTGTCATCACAGTCCCCAACAGAAAAGCTCATACAAGCAAAACCTACTTGACCATGACCATTTAAAAGGTGTTTGGCATCTTCTGAATAGCAGACACCAAGTTCCAAATCACCCTGTTGCTGCTGACAACATTACTCCAACTCCATACTCCTGGCAACCAAAAGCAGGGGTGAAGAACAGTGGGAACTGCAAGTTCCCTGATGTAGTCATCTTTTGTGTTCAGCAGTATCCTTATGTTAGTCATTTCAATTGCCAAATACTAGGTGAGTGCACCACATTTTTCCAGAAATGTTACTTGCCTTTGTCCTGAACTGTTTTTCCTTCTCCATTCCAGGCACCTACTTGCTTAGAGTGACTGTTAATCTGTCAGAACATCATAGAGAAAAGAAGCAACACTTTGGTAGTAGGACAGCAGCTTTACTCCATTCCCTCTTTCAAGGAGACGTGGAGATGTAAAATATGCTTGTCATTGAATGCAAAGGTGTCTATGCATTACAGCCATGATTTTTTAAAAGGTTCTTTTAGATCACAAATTGACCTCAGAAAAAGAAGGCCAGCTTTTAGGAGAGAGTGCTACCCACTGACAGCACCAAAATTCAGCAGGGTGAGCGTTTTGCAGTGGAGAGGAACCCAAAGCAGTGTGGGATGCCAGCTGACACAGCCACTCACACATCAGCACAAGCATTAAGTGATGTGCTCCATCCCAGCCTGCAGATCTGGGTCGACACTGCACTGACAAGCAAGGAGGTGTGTGCAGGTCTGTGCTGAGGACCATGGCAGTGCAGCCTCGCTGCAGCTGGCACTCCTGTCTCACTGATACTATACTGATGCAACTAGTCTTGGCTTTCATCTCAGCAACACCTAGAGCTAACTATGACCACGAGAAACCTCAGCGATGCTAAATATGAAGGCTAAAAACTACAGCAAATGCTGACTGCCATCTTGAATACTTCAGTATTCAGAGGTAGGATAAATTCCCCCTAAGCTATAGCAATTTAACTTTTTTCAGTAAAAAATACTTTTTACTGTGTTTGGTATCTGAGAGCTCTGCTGTACTCTAAAGTTAGTGATTAATATCATCACTGAAAGATCTTTTCCTTGTTTAAATAAATAACAAAGACCAAAGCCCAAATCATTTTAAATATACCATAAAATGTTGGGAAGATTGAAAACTTTAGAGTCACTAGAGGGTCATTCCAGTTTCTGCAAGAATCAGAGGGAACATTTTCAGTGAGATAATTTTCTAATGACCTTCACGAGATTCAGCTCAGCAGCACGTATTTATGGGTCCATTATCCAGTTATCAATATTCAGAACAAAGTACCCTTCTAGTCTTTTGAAAGATACCTTTTCTTCAAGCAAACTGGAACTGAAAATATACTGTTCTCTCAATGAACTCAGAGAAAATAGAAGGTTTTTTTCCATATTAGTGATTAAATAAATGTAAATGAAATTGTTAAAAAGTTGAAAGTTAAACTTCCATCTCTAATCACCTCTCAGTGGTGTCACTGAAATGATGATATAATCTAAAATAATCATGATTTGGAATTATCTTGTTAAGTGCTATCTTGATTTAATCAGCTGTTTCTGTAATTACATTATAGCTCTCCCATTAGCATTTTATCAGCCTCATTTAGGGCTGCATACCTCCTCTATTAAAATTTTTTCATAGGCTACGGTTGATGTGCAGACCTCAGGATGGCTGGAATTTATTGCAGCTTTGCTGTAAAACCAGTGGGTTTTCCCCTACAAAAAAAACAGGATGAAAAGCTCTACAATCTATTTTCATATTCCTTTAATCCATTCAGAAAATACTTGAGCATAATGAAACTTTACCTTTTAAAGTTAAGGCTATTTTGCAAACATAATCACGAACAAAATCGGAGTAGAAAACTAATTTTTGCAGGGGAGATTGTTGCATACATGCAAAAGCATGTCCCAAAAGGGCTCAAGTCTCTGATTCCATGCACTTTGGAGACTATTCTGCAAACCTACCTGTAATGGCATACCTGCTGCAAAGCAACAGGAGATGAGACACTACCTATCAAAATGGAGAGGTTCATTTTAATCTTTGAAAATTTGGATTAATAACCATAGAGTTACAAGCAAAGTCAGCCAATTGATTTAAAAAAAAAAAAAAAAGAGAGAGAGAATGATACTTGAGCAATACCTTGGACACACAGTTTCTGATACCCACGTTCTCTCTCAGCTGTTTGGTTGGTTTTTAACATATGCATCTGAAACACCCATGTGATTGTGTTGCGTGGCATACTGAGCCTGATTTCATCTTAGAACAGCAAACTGAAACCCTGTAGTGCCATTTACGTACGTGACAATAAGAAAATACGCTGCAGAAAAATGAGGGATATTCTAGAAGATTGTAACAGTTTAATTAAGGTGTATAAAGGATGAGTATAAAGCTCTGTACCTAGTTTCTTGGCAGTGTGTGCTTGTGCTATTTTGTGCAGTGTTTTCACAAGTGTTGACTACCTTGTTTGTACTTAGTAAGGCAGACTCTAACATGTATAAAAGCAGTCACATGAGTGCACACATATTAGGAATTCATAGAAAAATGGAGTGATGGGGATATACACTTCCACTAAACACTTACATGCATGCACTATGCATTTGCAAGTCCTGAAACTAAACTTAGGAGAAGAAATATTTTCTTTCCTCGTTAGAGGAATGTCAGATTTTTCTCCAATGTAACATCAACTACCCCAGACACATGCTCTGATAAGCAATGTAATAACTTTTTTTTTATTACAATAATATCTGAAATTAATTATTTAAGTGATAATGAGCTAATCAGAGAAAAGAGAAAGGTGATTGAGTGAAAGTTGCTGTAAAACCAGCAGAGGGAGCTCCAAAATTTGAATTTTTTTCTGCAGTGGGAAACGTCCTTGGAGCTTACTGTTGTGAGAAATGGTCTTTAGTCACTCAACACTGTGGCTGTCTCCACTGCTTCTTCACTGGTCCCAGGAATTCACAGCAGCAAAATGACTTCATATTTCCTTGGGTAGGAATACTCTTCTGACATGCTCAAAATGTAACTTAAAAGGTCTCTGCAGTACCACTGTTTCTTGGAAGAAATAATCATAGTATAATTGTAAAAATTTCCAGCTATCAAATCATATGCCAAACTCTTTCTTAATATATTAAATGTCAGCACTGTTGCCCTTGTTACCTGAAACCATCACACTTAACAGTAAGCCATGAAGAAGAGACAAACTGTGACATTAAATGCTCTTTTCCAAACTAAGACATATGATACCTCAACAGAGTGCCCTGGCCTGTGTCACAACAGGTTTTCTTATTTTTAGAATTAGGTCCAGTATGATGACTGCCTGACACTGAAGGGACATGGAACATGGAATAAGCTATGGAGTGCTTTCTTCATGTGCTGCATAAAAAGCAGCGTGGCCAGCCAGTCGAGGGAGGTCATTCTCCCCCTCTACTCCATTCTGCTGAGACCCCCCTGGAGTACTGCCTCCAGCCTTCTGGACCTGTTGGAGCAGGTCCAAAGAAGGACCACGAAGATGTTCAAAGGGCTGGAGCACCTCTCCTGTGGAGACAGCCTGAAAGAATTGGGGTTGTTTAGCATAGGAAAAAGAAGGCTCCAGGGAGACCTTATAGCAGCCTTCCAGTAACCTCTTCCAGTAACCTAAAGGGGGCCTGCAAGAGAACTGGAAAGGAACTTTATACAAGGACATGTAGTGGTGGGGCAAGGAGAAATGCTTCAAACTCAAAAAGGGTAAGCTTAGACTAGATATTAAGAAGAGATTCTTCACTGCGAGGATGGTGACACACTAGAACAGGTTGCCCAGAGAAGTTGTGGATACCCTATCCCTGGAAGTGGCCAAGGCCAACCTGGATGGGGCTTTGAGCAACTTGGTCTAAGTGGAAGGTGTCCCTTCCCATGGCAAGGGATTGGAACTAGATGGTCTTTAAGGTCGCTTCCACCCCGAACCATTCTATGGTTCTATGATCTGGCCAGCAAACTTAATACACCTCCCTGGCACGGACTCGCACAGACCTAGACCCTTTTGGCATTACACCTTCCTCAGCTCAGAGTAAAGAACTGTTCTGGCCAAGGAGAAGTGTTACTGGAAATTGTTTTACTGTCAAAATCTCAGACTGAAAACCAGCACGGTTGAGGAATGAGCTGGTCAGGTGTTCTCCAGATCTCTTTGCTAATGTAGCTATGGAGTGCTTCTACCTTTATTTCTTTCAGCAAAAGGAACTGGAGAGAAAATAAATAAGCACTCAGTACAGTGTATTATCACTGAGAGTTGTACAATTTAAAGTTCCTTGTCAGCAGTGTCCAAGGCAAGGATGGCTTTGGTACTTCTCATCCTTTCTTCAATAGCATGCTCATGCATTGGCATGAGCATTAAGCTGATTAACATTAGCTTAATTGTTAGCAAACCAGGTTTGAGCTGAATGCTTTTGAAAACTCTCCATGGATATTATCATGAGAGGCTTTTTTCTCTCTGGGGAAAAAAAAAAAGTTTTATTCTCTTTTACTGATAGCAACCCACAGAAGTTTCTGAATTGTAAACAAACAGCTTTGACCAGCACTATAACAGCAGAAATTACCTAAAAGACCTGCCAAAAAAGACCTTTTAGAGATTTCTGTCTCTTCTGTTTCTCTGATCTTTAGAGTGGTATTGCCAACTTCCCTCTATCGTATGCCTTTGCTAACCCTCTTCTTCCAAATTAAGACAACAGTAACATGCTTTCTGTACCTGGTAATGTTTCTATTTCTTTGCTCCTGGTCTCTGATGAAATATCTACCACTCTCCAGC